GCTCTCCATCGTAGTTCTTCAGGCAAATGATGCCTAGAGGTCATTATTACGAATTGGCTATCTCAGATTTTCAATGTCGCAATCACAGTAAAATTTGTGTGCTTTCTCTCAAACTTGGACTTTTATGCTCCAGGCAGATGACGTAAGCCGAGTGCAGCGCCACTAATTTGCATATTGCAATTTTACTCAGCTACTCTTAGTGGACAACATATGCAAATTTTGCACGGTTTGGCTTACTTTTGAAAGAGCTATCGCTATTTTTGTGATTTTTCCTTAATTTATGATAACCAGTGTATATATATATATATATTTGGTCAACTCACGGTAGTCAAAATCGACCTCATTTAGCAATTTTCTGCATTGATGTATCTCTTTACCACTAAACTTTTTTTTAATTTTAATATTTTAATTATCATCCACTTTTAAATTACTTAGTTTAATAGAAACACGCATTTCAAGAGAGTAACTATTAGAAGGATTTCAAGCTTGCGGCATTTTTAATGTTTGATATATGATATTTATTTATATTTGTATGGAATTCTATAGCCTGTTGGCTTAGACATTTTTAATCTGCAAAAATACATATAATTTGATGTAATTATATGTATTTTTGCAATGTATTGCATTTTTATGTATTTTTATAATTTTATAATATAATATTATAGGAATTTGTTAATCGCTTTATTTTCCATAAATTTATAACAACGAGAAGTCCTTGAAAGAGAGCTGTTCAACTTCTTTTCCATTATTTACCAATTCAAATTATGTGAAATAACTTAAACACTTATTTTTTTAAATAAATCATTTTATAATAAATCCAGAAGAAATCTTTTAAATTTTTAAAAGTTTCCATGCATATACGTATTGTTTCATATTGTTTAAGAGAAGCGTTCTGACTGTTACCAAAAATTATCATTTTTAAAATTATTCAAGAGAAGATATTACGATTGTTTAATATTGCTTTTATGATTCAAGTATGCGAGAACAATTTAAAAAAAGCAATCTTGAGATGAAATATTAATTTTGAAGATTATTTTGTATGCATTTCGAAAGGTTGCATGCAGTCTGATCTGTCATGAACTTTTTAAAGATTGTTAGACAAGTTTTAGTAACTCTCCATTTATAAATTAATTATGAGAACCATATTTTAACCGTAGTAGTCCTTAAGAAATAAAATTGCAAAAAAAAAAATCATATGTTTAAAAAAGCGCGTGTGCAAAAATTTTTCAATTCAGTTGAAAAGTTCTTGAGATATTGTGAATACACTGGTATTTGTAAAGCAAAATTAACATAAGAGGTTCAAACTTTAAAAAGCTTTCCTGACCAGAGACCATTTTTCCAGATTGCGCCAGATTTTGGCTTTCATAAAGCCGAATCCATTAAAAAAATTGTTAATTAAAAAAATAAAAAAAACTTTTTGTGTTTTATTTCGTAAATGAAAATATCGTCTGAACCAACTAACTAGCATATTTGGGGTTACTCCTCGAACCATTAAGATTGAGTCCCAGAACATTAAGATCCGATTATTAGATTAGAAGTTATTCAGAGTGGTACATATATTTATTTGCACAGGCCATTCACGTTGATTATTGAGCTATTCTAATACAACAAATGCAAAACAATAACTTTTTATAGAACGTAATTTAACAGAATTGAAGCATAATAAATTTCACTAATATTTGTTAAGTAATTGAAAAAAATTAATCTTCTGCATTTTAATTTGTAACATTGCCTATTGAAAAATTCATTTTTCTATCATTCCTCTTAAAAAGCCTGTTAAAAAATTTTTTTACAACTTTTTTTTCAACATCGAGATTTTGAACGGCATCTGCTGTTTAAATTTCTGGACGTAAGTTCAGACAATTTCAGAGTTATTGGAGAAACTAGCGAATGAAAAATCTCTCTTTTAATAATATAGATATGCCACAGTTTTTGTTTTTGATTACAGCTCTAGCAATAAAATACTCTCGAATAATGTTAATTAAAAATTGGCAGTTCAATATCTCAAAGTAGGGATGGAATGTTAGATTAAAGTAAGATAAACTCTTTTTTTAGATAGAAATTCTTTGAATAACTTTTAATTTAGATTCGAATGCATTCTTCACTCTCAAAATCATGAAAAAGTTTAAACTTTAGATTTTTTACTAAATAAATAAATTTTTATATCTAAAATTAAAATTACCACTTCACGTATCAAATTAAAACTGCAAATACATTGAATGGATAAAAAAATATAACTTTTAGAAGAAATTAAAACCTAAATATATTAAAACAGCATAAAAATTATAATTTTATAACTTCGTTATTTAAAAGAACTAATGAAAAATGTAACAGAAGAGAAGTTTTTTTGAGTAACTAAAATAAACAAATAAAAATAAAAACAAGTATTTTTTTTTAATTTATACTTGCGTACTCGTAAATTGAATTGAATTGAAATTTTATTTAAGATAAAAGTATTTTATATGATTTAAAGATATGTTAAAAGTACAATTATGATACCTTGAAAATTTCATTTCAATATATGTTACTAAAGGAAAAGAATGGAAGAGTTGAAGAATTGAATATTTCTAATTATCACAAAAATAAAGTCATTCGTCTCTATATATTTTTATTAAATCAGCAAAATTATAATTTATAAAGCAAACTTTGTTTTAAAAACTAGCTATATAAATATAGGCTTTAAAAAAACTCACAAGATATGCTAATTTCAACGTAACTGAATTACTATATAAACGAAACGTAAGTACTGTGTTATTTGAGAAACGATAAAATAAAATACGTGATGTCAGTTTATGTAATAAAAATTTATCTAATTAATCAAGCTAAAATAATACCTTACTTTTTGTTTGAAAGTTTCTGAAATTTTTCTTTAAACAGTAAGTTTTATGCTTTTTATTCCATCTGCTATCTACTTCTATTCAGTAAAAATTTATTTCATTTATCATATTTTTGACACATATCTATGTTTTTAACTGAATGCTGTGCAAAAATATTCTAAATTAACAGTTCGTATCAACAAAACATATTTAATGAATATTGTTTTGTTAATACAAAAATTTAAAAACAAATTAGACTTTGAAATCATAGAAGTATATTTCTTTCATAAATGCTTTAAATAACATACACATTCTATTGAAAATTAAAAATTTCTCATTAAAAATTGCCATACTTAAAACTCAATTCTGCATATTAATTAATCAGAATATAGTTCCTAGCAATATGTTTGCATGTTTTTAAATAAAAATTATAATTAACTAAAAGGATAGACTTCTAAGAATATTTGAAAAATAAAATTCAATTTTAGAATAGAAATATGGTTTGAATGCCAAACATAACTTTCACTTTTGTAAAAGAAATGGACTATTCCATTGCTTACAAATCGCACTTTAGTTTCCCGCTTTTCATTCTCTACCATAACCGTGACGAGCAAAGAGTAGAAGCAAACGATCGGCCCAAGCTCCTGATCCCTTTTCTCGCTTGCTCAGTAAGTCTGGAAAGTTTGGGAGAAGCGGCTGCTCTTGAAATTCCATTATATTTGGAGAGAAGGGGAAATATTATTTGCCGTTCTTTCTTCAAAGAACTATTAGTGGTCTCTCAATAAATCCAACTAAAAATTTAATTTATCTTAGATCGAAAAAACACCTTTGCTCTATTGGAATTAAAGTGAAAATATTGAGAAAACCAAGCTTTTCCCCCCCTATAATTCCATTTAAAGAAGAACTATTTAATCTTAAGAAAAAGAATGACATATTTCGTTGGATTACTTTTAATGACTTTTTTCATCGGGATAGATTCTTCGGAAGTAATTAACGGTAAGAAATTACTTACGCATTTTCCATTTATTTTGTACAATTTTTGAATATCTGAGCTGATTATTTTTTTAACGAAATTGGAAATATTTCTTTTTTAAGTAAAATGAAAGTATTTTTTTTAGTTTAGATCATTTATCCTTTTATTTATTTAAATTCCATTTCGTTAACTATGAAAACCTCTCATTTTATTAAATATTCATAAATAACTTAACTATTTTAATTGCTAAATCTATGAAGTTGGAGAAAATTATCATAAAAATTATCTTTTATTTTTAAAATGTATCAGCTGAAAATTAAGAATTTTACTTTTAAGAATTCTGAAATACTTAAAACAAACTGCTTTTCAGTTGGTTTACATTATAAATGCTCGCGGTAGGATGGATGCATAATCATAAATAAGTTGATTCGCTAGAATTAATGAATTTTTATAACTAAAATGTATTGTTATGTTTAAAGAATGAAGTTAACGAAAAAATGGAATTCTAGATTTAAATTTGAAATCTTACGAAATAGTGTATGTTTCATATATTTAATTAGTTATTGGTAAATGTCTTAAAAAAAGTGTTTTATCATCATTTTAGATACTTTAATATATTAATTTTAGGAACAAAACTTAAGTGTGTGGTTAATTTATTAGAAAAAATATTCTAATGAATGAAACGGATCGTGAAAAACATCTTAGTACAGCTTTAATTATTATAGTTATATATAAAAAAAGAGAAAGAGAGAGCTAATATGCGAAATACTGTAGTATTTTTAAAAGACCGACAGCTCTTATTTCCATTTGGGTTCCATTTTTCCATTCTCATAAACATCAAAAAAATACTTCAAACCCTGCTCTTGTATTAAGAAGATAAATTGTAAGTTAATAATTTTCTTTCATTTTTTAATTCATTCTCACTGAAATAATTGTACATTGATTAGACATAAAAATTGTTTTCCTTTAAAAATACGAAAATGAATAGATTAAACAATTTATCTGAAAAAAATTTTTACAACAATGATTTTATGGAACGAATGAAACAGTTTAGCTTTATATTAGGTAGAAAATTAGTTTTATATTAGGTGCAATGTAATCTAATGTAATTGATGTCCTTCAGTTTTTGAAAATTTTTCGAGTTTGGTCATATGGATTCTTTCTTTGATAAATATAACATTATTTTTTATTTTTTGGTACAGCCTATTTTAAAATAATATGATACATTAATTTGTTGTATAATACAACAATATTCTCATGAAAAGTCGACTCTCATTCTTTATCAACTTGGATACAAATGTAAGAGAAATTTCCCAAAACCATGTAAGCGCTTAATACTGTGTTTGCTATATATTATTAGTGGTGGCATAAATTTATTAAAACTTTTTACAAGAAAAGTTTATTCTATTTCAAATAAGAAAATAGAGCTCCTTAACTTTTTCGCAAGGAAGCAAACTTTTAAATTCTTGTTATTTAAAATGTTTTTTTCTTACAAATTTAAGAAGAAAAAAAACAACTAACTTTTAGTTTTTAATTTAAGTAAATGATAAAGATAAAGCTTAAACTGATTTTTGAAAAAATATATCAGATCAGCGGATTTTATGATAAGAAAGTGTACGTATCATTACATCATTTGGAGAAAAAAATCTTATTAATCTTAAGGTATAACGGAAATAAAACAAAGCAGCTGAACAAACAAAAAGTCAGCTTAGTTTTAATTCCAGGAAAAAAAACAGAGAACTAAACTTCTCAATTATGCGATTTGCCAAATTCATGAAACTTTATTAGTGAATAGAATACTCTCTAAATCAAAATAAAAAAAATTTGATTTTGTGAATAAAATTATTTCCTTTTGTAAAAGCCACTTTGGAGACAAAATAAATTAAGCTAAATCTTTTGAAGATTAATTAATTAATACAATTTCCTGAAGATTGTATATTATAATCATTTAGGTGAACAAGCAAACTAGATTTTTTAAAAATTTATAGTACGGCTATAAGTTATTTATAACAATATTAGGTACTCGCAATTTTTTTTTGATGGATAGCGTAAAATTTAGCTTTCATTCAAATATCCGTTTCAATAATTTTCATAGTGTATAATGCAATATAATGTAAAAAAATCGGTAAAAAGTGCACTGAGGTAACGGTACTTTTTACCGTAAAAGCCGTTTAGAAAGCAATAAATTTGATAGATCGTAATTCTTACAGTAATAAATATAGTATTATCTATGAACAACTCTAAATATATATTTCTGCAATTACTATAAATATATATTTTACGATAAAAATAGATTTTTCAGTCAAATGGAATTTACGTCTGATTTAAGCCAAAGCGCTGATATTTTATACTGTAATTTGATCCAGAACGTTTTAGTTTGTAATTCAAATAAGCATTTTATTAAAGGCGCATAGTATATGGCAATATTTTGACGAAGTCCAAAGCATTATAAATATATATTCTTAACACTGGCTAATAAATTCAGTGAATCGATAATATTACAACTGGGTAAGTGAAGCTCATAGCTAATATTTGCAATGGAGAAAGTTTTTTTTAAGAGTTAGTTAATTGATAAACAGCATTAAACAAAAATTAAATCTTCAATCAAAAAATTCGTTAAGTTTTCAAATACAGACTGAGAGCAAAGCTTTGATTCAAATCATAATCGTGATAAATCAGTTTAGAAATAAATATTTAAAAAATGTTAATAAACTATAATGTTGTAATTTGCATTTTATACTTAAGTTAGCTAATGCAACATGATATTATGTAGAAGTAAATGAAGAAAAAAAATTAAATTAAGCCGTATTTTAAAAAGAAAAAAATATTGTCGAAAAATTTCGAAATCTATCGAAAAATTTATAATTTGTTATTTTTGCCACAGATTATTAAATATGACAATTCATATTATTTGCTTTATGAGTTCCGTTTGTGCTCATATAGATAGTGCTTGAATTATACTTTGTTGCAAATGTTTTTCTCTTTTACTATATTTACAATAAAATTATATCTGTTTTAGCTATTAACAGTGCTCGTTAGATACCGTACTATACATTGCCAAGAGTTTTATAGCGACCCGGCAAACAAAAACGCCATTCGCGTCATTAAGCATCTGCCATTTCGCTTTTTAACGGAAGAGGTTAGAAAAATCCTGAACTACAACTTTTAATAATAATTATTTTTACAACATGTATAAGAGTAAATTACCCAATTTTCTTTCAAATTGATTTCTAGGTAAAAGTTAATTCAAATAAGAAATTTCAAGTGAGCTAATATATCAGCGGAACGATGAATGATAAATTCTAAAAATCAATGAATCAATTTGTAGTAGCAATTGATAATGAACAAATGAATCATCAAATAAACAGAAACTTAATGAATCAAGTCACTAAATCCGGAAAGAAATTAATCGATGAATAAAAAAGAAAATCGTAAATCAATAATTAATAAAGAAAAGGGTGAATTATAGGTAAGCGAATCAATAAATCAATGCGTCAAATCAATTATTCATCAAATTAAAAATTATGGAATCATTGAAAAAATGAATGAATTAATTACGATGCTGAACGAATCAATGAATTAAGGAAAAAAAGAAACAATAAATTAATTAATCAAATTTCCAGTGGAACAATAAGTAAAAAAAAAGCATTAAATCAACGAATCATTGAAACAGACAATTAATGAATTGTCAAACCAGCATATCAAAGAGTCATTAATTTGATTTTTTCATTGAATTACTGATTCACTGATTCATTGCTTCGTGTACCACTGATTTAATTATTCTCTTTTTCATTGATTCTATGATTCGTTGATTCGTTAATCTATTGATTAGATGAAAAGCTTATTCTTTAAGATGCCCAACAGCTGATAAGCTATTTCATTGATTTATTGATTTGCTGATTCGCTTATTCGTAAATTTGCTCATTCATTGATTTGAGAATTCGTTGAATCACTTTTCATCGATTTTTTAAGCCATTTATTTTCTCTGGAACTTATTTTTTAGGATCATTTGTCTATTGCTCTTACTTATTGTTATGGGTCAACGAGTTTGTAGCTGAGAATGTAGGAAATAGCTGAAATAAAAGTTTAATTCATTTCTTTCCTAACTGAAGTCTTCAGAACACGAACTGTCTTCAAAAATAAATTACATATGTCCCTCCAGACACTTCAAGGAACGACACCTATAAAATGAACTAGTCTATTTACGGTAACATATATATGCATAGATTCTAGCATGGGATTTATCGAGATTTTCGGATATAATTTATCTGGAATATTCTAAATGAAACTCTTCCCAATTAAACCCTAGCAGATTATGAAGCTGTGACAAGCATACTTTAATCTTGCAAATTTTAATATATTAAAAAAAAATTTAAAATCAATGAAAGAAGTATTTTTTTATCTATGGCATATTAAATCCTGCCACACGTGTTGCAAAAAAGCAATTTTGAAAATTAGTATGATATATTAAGTATATAGGAATGCAACTTAGGTAAATTTTGTTATCCTGAATAATATCTTGAATTATAACATACAATGAAATCTATTAATGCTCATTAATAGCTTCAAAGCCAACAGTACTAAAAAATTTATTGCGTATAGAAAAAGGAAATAATTTCTAAATTTGCAAAACAAATAATGTGAGTATTACAGTATTTAGAAAATGTGTTCACAGGAGAACAAAATTAGAAATAATTCGAAAACATAGTAACACACAGTTTCATGAAAACTATTTTAAACATTAGGACGCAATTATTGTATCATGTAGAATGAAAACTCTAGCTGCAAACTAGGTCAATAGAAAAAGAACACAAATCACATATGCAGAAGCTGCACCGAATGAATTGACCAGTATCTCCAAAAGTAGTGCGCAATTCCTCCAGATGGCGGTAGTCCCGTGGCGTAAATCTGAGGAACGCTTAGGTTTGGAAAGAGCACATAGATTAACTTTTCTGCTTGGGTCGAATCGACCTACTTTTCTAATTCATGCATTCCATTATGGAAAGAAGGGGCAAACAATTTA